ATGTTATTGGCCTTCCACACACAATGGTTGCCACTGTGTATGATTTTCAACAGCAATCAGAGTATTTGCAGAGTACACTTACACGGTAATCATTAAAAGCATCATAGTACAGCACAAGAAAGCAATGCCTGGCTCAATGCATTATAGAAAGACGTGTTCCTGTTAAAATGCTCCTTCAAGTACTCCCTGATTCAAATAGCCCTCCATTTTAACAGCCTGGCATCTGGCTGCTCAAACAGAGCCATCAGCCAATCCACCTCAAGGTTCCATCTCTGCATGAACTTTTCTCCCTTACTTCCACAAACATTAAGCAGAGCAGCAGGCTGCTATGACCAAGGGGATATTTTCCTCCTTGAGATCTCGCATGCCAAACAGGGAGCACTGCAACCCTTTAATCTGCCGAAAGCACATTCAACAGTCATTCTGTGCCTGCCGAAGTGCTACTTGTTGCTGTCAAGGTTTCCAGCATAAGGCTTGTGAGCCATGAGAGCAGGGCATAGGCTGCATCTCCCAGGATCACAATTAGAATTTCCACACCCCCAATTACCATATTCATGTTGGAAAGGAAGTCCTTGCTTGCAGCTTTCAGTATAGGCCAGTGTTCCTGAAAATGTGTGTTTCACGCACATTCCCTGACCTCCAGTGAAACAACCCTGGTGATTCATCAGTGGTCGTAATACCATAGAAAAGTAGCCCTTTCTGTTGATGAAGTGGTTTAGGGTCAAAATGGGATCTGTGCCCCATCTATTGCCCCACCACAGTTAAGAAATCCTATTGCCATAAAGCCATTCATTATTTCCCTCACATTGCCCAGAGTAACAGTCCTTCAGAACAGGAGACAATTAATCGTCATTTGATTAATTAATAGCACACTTGCATCACTGCAACCCCACTGCTGAAATTTCCTTCTCCAAACTGATTCACGACAGATCAATAGCAGTCTGGAGTTCTGGAACCCACAAGGAGAGACGCAATTCTTGATTTAGTCCTCAGTGGAGCACAGGATCTGGGCCAAGAGGTAAATATAACTGGACAGGAACCATAATGTAAAATCCCTGTGGTTGGAAAAACAACTCAACAGCCCAACACTGTAGCATTTAATTTCAGAAAAGGAAACTACACAAAAATAAGGAGGTTAGTTGAACAGAAATTAAAAGGCACAGCAACAAAAGTAAAATCCCTGCAAACTGCATGGAAACTTTTCAAAGGCACCATAATAGAGGCCCAACTTAATTGTATATTCCAAATTAAAAAACCACAGTAAGAAAATCAAAAAAAGTGCCACCTTGGCTTAACAACCAAGTAAAAGAAGCAGTGAGATATAAAAAGGCATCATTTAAAAAGAGGAAGTTAAATCCTATTGAGGAAAATAGAAAGGAACATAAACTCTGTCAAATTAAGTGTAAAAATATAATAAGAAAAGCCAAAAAGGAGTTTGAAAAACAGCTAGTCAAAAATCTCAAAAAACATTAGCAAAATGTTTTTAAGTACATCAGAAATAGGACGCCTGCTAAACAACCAGTGGGGCCCTCTGGATGATCAAGATGCCAAAGGAGCACTCAAAGACTATAAGGTAATTGCGGAGAAACAAAAGTAATTATTTGCTTCAGTCTTCACGGCTGAGGCTGTTAGGGAGATTCCCAAACTTGAGCTATTCTTTTTAGGCAACAAATCTCAGAAATTGTTCCAGATTGAGGTGTCATTATTAGCAGAAGCTTTAGAACAAATTGATAAACTTAATAACAAGTAACAAGTCACCAGGACCAGATAGTATTCCCCCAAGAGTTCTGAAAAAACTCAAATGTGAAATTGTGGAACGATCAACAGTGGTTTGTAAATCAGCTTCTGTTCCTTATGACTGGAAGATAGCTAATGTGATGCCAATATTTTAAAAGGGCTCTAGAGATTATCTTGGCAATTAGAGACCAGTAAGTCTAACGTCAGCACCAAGCAAAAGAGCTGAACCTATAGTGAAGAACAAAATTGTCGGACACATAGATGAGCATAATTTGTTGGAGAAAAGTCAACATGGCTTCTGTAAAGGGAAATAATGCCTTACTAATCTACTAGAGTTCTCTGAGGATGTCAACAAGCATGTGGACAAGGGGGATCCAGTGGATATAGCGTACTTATATTTCCAGAAAGCCTTTGACAAGGTACCTCACCAAAGACTCTTAAGTATAGTTAGTTGTGATGGAATAAGAAGGAAGGTCCTCTTGTGTACTGATAACTGATTTAAACATAGGAACAAAGGGTAGGAATAAATGCTAAGTTCTCAGAATGGAGAGAGGTAACTAGTGATGTCTCCCAGGGGTCTGTACTAGAACCAACCCTATTCAACCTATTTATAAGTGATCTGGAGAAAGGGGTAAATAACGAGGTGGCAAAATTTGCAGATGATACCAAACTGCTCAATACAGTTAAGACCAAAGCAGACTGTAAAGAGCTTCACATACATCTCACCAAACTAAGTGACTGAGCAACAAAATGGCAAATGAAATTTAATGTTGATAAATATAAAGTAATGCACATTGGAAAAAATAATTCCAACTATAGATACAATATGATGGGGACTAATTTGGCTATAACTTCCCAAGAGAGAGATCTAGGAGTCATTGTGGATAGTTCTTTGAAAACATCCCCTCAGTGTGCAGCAGCAGTCAAAAAAGCAAACAGAATGTTAGGAATCATTAAAAAAAAAAGGGATCGCGAATAAGAGAGAGAGCATCTTATTGCTTCTATATAAGACCATGGTCCACCCATATCTTGAATACTGCGTACAGATGTGGTGGCTTCATCTCAAAAAAGATACATTGGCATTGAAAAAGGTTCTGAAAAGGGTAACAAAAATTATTAGGAGCTTGGAACGGGTCTCGTAGGAAGCGAGATTGGAACTTCACAGCTTAGAAAAGAGAAGACTAAGGGGGAATATGATAGAGGTCTACAGATCATGACTGGTGTGAAAAAGTGAATAAGGAAAAAAAATGTGCTTGTTCCCATAAAAACTAGGGGTCACTAAATGAAATTAATAGGCAGCCGGTTTAAAACAAACAAAAGAAGCTTTTCTTCACACAGTGCACGGTCAGCCTGTGGAACTCCTTGCCAGAGTAGGTTGTGAAGACCAGGACTTTATCTTCAATAAAGAACTAGATAAATTCATTAAGGTTAGGTCCATCAATGGCTATTAGCCAGGATGGGTAGGAATGGTGTCCCTAGCCTCTCCCAGAGGCTGGGAATGGGTGATGAGAGAGGGATTGCTTGATGATTCTGTTCATTCCCTCTGGAGCCTCTGGCATTGGCTACTGTTGGCAGACAGGCTACTGGGCTAGATGGACCTCTGGTCTGACCCAGTATGGATGTTCTTATGTTAATTCGTGTCAGCAGTCCAATATGAATGCCAGCAGCAACCTTGAATTGTTTCTTTCCAGAACACACAGCAGGACTGATCCCCAGGTGTCTTCAGATTCACAGCTCATGAAGTGCTGCAGGATAAATTGCATTGTGCCATAATGCTCATCAAAAGAGCGAGAGCAATGCAAGATCCATGCTTTTATAGAGGGAGACTGAGGATGCACAGTTCACAAGCATAGTTGAAAAGTGGTGAGAAAGATAATAGGAAGCCCCTGAAATGATGCGACAAATAAAACTGCATCTTTGGATGCTGAGAGAAGGGAGAAAGGACACACAAGTCTGTTATACCCATCCTGGAGGTAATGAGCTGCACCTGCCCCAACGAGTCAGCTGAATGTCCCACCATTATACAGGGCACTAACACCTGCTAATTGGACCAGCAAGCAAAATAGCCTCGAAATTTGCATGATATTGGCTCAGATGGCCACTACTATATGAGCTGCAGCCAACAAATACAAAGGATGTTAGGTACAGAAGTGGTCTGAGTGTGCAGATCAGATATCCATTATTACAGTTAGACTGGGGCTGAGGCAAAATGAAGGCTAGAGGTTGATTTTTAATTCTGTAGTCTCATGATCTGAGCTTAGTGGAGACTAAACAAATGTTTCACTTCTAGCTATGGCCCCTCAACAGCAAGGATGGAGCATATTGGCAGGGCAAAGAGGCTTGGTCTCATATTTCCTATACTGTGACTACTCAGTCTAAATGGGAGGTTTTAAGTTCAGCTCCTCAGACACATTTTGGGAATTTAAGTCCCATTGATTTTAGTGAGTGAGGTGGCTAAATATCTTAAAATGAGGTGGGCCTTAGTCTTGAGGGCTGTGAAACCATCTCAGCTTATTTTTATAGATTAATTTAGATTTATTTTAAATCGTGCTGTCAAGTATTGGTAGGTTCTGCAAAATGGAAGTTCGTCTATAGAGGTTAGAGAGTTTGTGTGCTTGTCTGTCTGTGAGTCTATCAGTCCCAGTCCATGTGTTCACGAACTCCTCCTCAGCACGCTGCCATTGTCACCCCCAGACCTCCTGTCCCTCTGCCCTAGATGCCCCACATCCTCAGGCCCAAGTCCTCATTCCTGAAAACCTTGACCCCTACATGGAGAGACCCAAGCAACATTGAGTACACCGGCTAATAAAAATATATTTGTTTTGTGTACACACATTTTATTACGCACCGTTTAAAAATATAACCAAGTGAAATTCTCTCCAAAGCCCTCCTCGCTGCTCCCCAAACAATTTTTACTAAAGCTTGGACCAGAACTAAGATAATGTTTATGAAAGTCATTTTCAAATCAGAACTCAGAACTGCAGGTGACTAAAAGGAAGGTAATAGCTGATGCTGATTATTGGACAGTCTTAGCTATAAATGAGGATCTCTGTAATAGATTAACCAGAGCAAAATGTACGTATCAGTCTCCGTGTGGTACACTGCCATTGTCAGTTTCAAAGTTCACGGTGAAAAACAGCACCCGGACAGTCTCAATGAAGTCTTGGGAGAGGAAGACTTAAGGGAAAAGGAGGTAAGTGACACACTGAAATGATCAAGTTATGAATTTAAGAACTTGTGAATGGAGGGAGGGGAAAAAAAAATCGGCCATAAAAGGCAATACTTAATACGGTACAGAAATGTGACTATACAGCTATCTTGTGTGATTTTCCTCTCCTGTTCTTTGTCCCTGGGCTTGATTTTCAAGCTTGACTACGTATAGTTCCCTTTGACATCGGTGGGTGCTGGGAATGCTTGGTACTTCTGAAAAACAATCAGCCCATGGTCTCAAACAGTCCCAGCGAATAGGCACAGCAGTTGGTGTTGTTTTTTTTTTTAAACACTTTCCTAAACAGATTTAGCTACTCTGAAGGGGGGTGGAGGTGGGGTTGGAAGAGAATCACTGGGATTGCTAATTCAATGTTCTCTGTAATTATTAATGTAGTGCCTATTTTCTTACATTTTTCTAAAAAGTTAATTCAACAGTTACTCCCCCTTCCTAGGAAGTTCAATAAATTTCCATACTTGAATAGTCAGAGGATGAATTCATCCTTCATGAGGATGAAGAATTCATTAAGCACTAGATCTTACATGTGATGATAGTGTCTCTTGTAACATGAGGGCTAGTTAAAAATAGCCTCTTGAACTGGTCTCTCAGAGCCTAAATAATAAATACACAATGTTGGGTGACTGTCTAAAGATACTTATTGAGTAAGAATCCTAGGATTATGCACACTAAATTACAGTCCTTTTTAAACAATGCTCCTGAAGTTTCTAGTGTCACTGGTCTAGATAAGCAAACATTTTATTCCCAGATACAGGCACTGTCTTCAACATGTCCCTTAATTATTTTTAACTATAAAATGTATTTAAAGTCCTTTTGAGACAATTAATGCATAGAATCTGCATTCAGGTATTAAAGACTTAAGATATTGATTTAATGTAATGTGGTAGGCACTATAAAGAGGAGCTCCTCCAGCTTTAACTTAAAAAAAAAGTCATTCCTCTTCTCCATCCTCTGGTTTCTCTCCCTTCATTGGCTCCATCACCTTCTATTCTGTGGTCTCCTGTTATTCCCCCTCTCCTTTCCTGGACTGTTTTCCCTCACTCCTGGTTCTTCTTCTTGACTCTAAATTCTCTTGATATGGGGATCTGCTGATGTGGACAACTGAGAAGCACCTCAATCAAGGCTCTTTAATTGCGGATACCAAGGGTGGCCAGAGAATACGGTGGAATGCTCTTTCAGGCCAACCAGAGGTACTTCTCTGGTTGGCACTTTATTCCCCATGCTGCTCAAGTGCTTCAGACAGAGCAAGACCAGGTGCCTCAAGGGGCTGTTCTTATGGTTGAATGGTTATTTCTGAATGTTGCTTAGACATCACTCAACTAAACAGCTATTAACAGCGTTTGTTTCTATAGTTGCTGAAACAGGCGTGTGGACCATGGCAGATACAATGTCTGACACCGATGAGATCATCATCAATCTTCTTTTGGTTGGCAGGACCCAGAGTGGCAAAAGTGCTGCTGGGAACAATCTTCTGGGCAGCTTTGACTTTGACAGCCATCTGTCCCCAAGCTCTGTAACCACATGCTGCAACCTTGGCCGCAGCTGCCGCCTCTCAGGCTTCACACGCCGAAAAGGCCATGAGCTAGCCCTGCGAGTTTGTGTGCTGGACACTCCGGGGTATCCTCACAGCAGCCTGAGCAAAGAAGAGGTGCGGCAAGCAGTGAAGGGAGCTCTGGTGCAGCACTTTGGAGACAAGGGCCTTCACCTAATACTCTGGGTCCTAAGAGCTGACTTGCCTTTTTATGAGGAAGAAAATCACCGCACAATTCAGCTAATCCAGGTAAACACTTCTGTGCATACTAGCACTCTGTTTTCAGAATTAGGAGCCCTCAAGCTGAGGCGTAGCAAGGGTGTTATGCGCCCGGAGGCAAAAGCAAAATTTGCCCCCCACCCCCAGAACCTGGTGCATAGCTAAGCCTGACAGGAGTGGGGAGCTTGTACCGCATCTTCCCCCACCCCCTCCAGTTTGGGGAAGGCACTATCCCACTGTTGAAGAGGGAGGAAGGTCAGGCTGGGGGTGCAGAGGCAGGGAGGAGGCTTCAGCAGGCAGTGGTGGATGGAGGAGGAGCAGGCGACCAGAGGTCTGATAGGGGGAGCAGAAGGGCAATTACCCCCCCTACATCAGAGAATGTAAGATTAATTTACCTGTTAAAATAACTCAGAAAAAAACTGTTTAAATAAAACACAACACAAGAATCGCCCTCGCTTTCTTGAAGTAATAAGTAGCCTAAAGCTGAGGATAGAGAGCCTCGCTTGCAGAGTGTCTGCCAGGAGGACTTTTTCCTTCAGGCTGCTGTGAGATTCTATCCTTAAGTAAAAGAGAGAGGTCTCTCCGAGATGCTCTTCCAAATTTCTCACAAGCCATAGATATCAAGATTCAAGGCCAACCTTACCCTTGGCAGACTGCCTTGCCAGGTATTCACAATCACAACGTCCAAACACGTATAAGACTTTTAGTTGAGAAAGCCATGTTAATCCCAAGTCTCTGCTATGACTGAGAGATGTGGGTGACCTATAGAAAACACCAGCATTTTCTTTGGAAAAGCCACAACAAAACGTGGGAGGATTGATCACCTCAGTAATGCCAACTCCTTTAGAATTGAGGCTCTGATCATCCAACACCAACTGAGGTAGAGCATGTACTGTGTGCACATGTCTGATATTTTACCAAAACTGTTACCTGCCCAACTTGTCAAAAGAGAAGGGAAACAGGAAGGCCAAAAGGAATAGTTTAGAGTAGTGTTTCTCAACCTTTTGTTATAAAGTATCCCTTTTAAAAAAGTTATAAGTACCCCCAGTACCTACAGTTTTCAGACACACACAATTTTTTCTACAATTGCAACATGAAGTTGTTTAAACAACTTAATCATATCCCCATCTCTCCTTACAAGGTACATTGCCCATGGAGGCTGGGCTATTTTATACATAAAGGTACTGAGAAATGTATGTGTGTATATTATGTAAATAATACCAAATAATAACTGCCAAATGAGACTACTTCCCAACCTGCTTAGAAAGGGCCTAATTTAAAATTTTAATTTTAATTTTAATCTAGGATTGAGCCCAAAACAATCTGTTGATATGACCCAAAAAGATCCAGATAACATTTAGTCACCTTCAAACATATAAGAGACCAATCAGGAAAAGCCCCTCTGCCTGGTCTTTGAAGAAAATGATCTTCGAAGAATATTGGAGAGAGACTGAATTTATTTTTTCTGACAGCAGCACTTTCTGTCACTGAATGTGGGGTCTTCAGCACAGGTTTCACTTGATGTGTCAGAACAACACAGAAATGCTGTGTCATAGCTAGCTCCATTCAGGTCAAAGCAACGTGCACCCCAAAGACAGAAGAACAAATCCCTTGAAGCTGGCAGACAAAACATCTTACCTCTTCACAGAGCTCACAAAGGGTTTTGTTCACCCAGAGACTAAAGTCATGACAACTGTCTCTGGAGAGAGACAAAACGTCTTGCCTTTCGGTGGACATACCAAATGTTTTTATGTGGCATCTTACCATGCTGTTTAAATCGACTGCTTGGATGAGGAAGACTTACAAAGAGTCTGTCCATCATCCACACTGGAGCAACATGGCGATTTACCACTGTGGTAACAGACCTGATCGCTCTGTGGGCTCTTGTGGAGCAGCACAGAGCCTGCAGCAGTCTCTTGGTGGGAGAGGCCAGGGGTGCCTCTATTCCAGTGGTTCTCAAGCTTTTTGGCCCATGGACCACATGACTCAGTGTAAACCTTTCTGCAGACGGCCAGTTGCTAATGGACACCCACCTTTAATTACACAATTATGCCCAAGCCATTTTCCTCGTGCTGCAGCTGGGGAGAACTGTTTAATTGAAATTAAACCAATTAAATGTTAACTCTCTCATGTTAGTTTATCAAACTTCATTTTAAATAAAGTAGAATATTAATTTGTCCAATACAAAAGGTTTCAATGTTTTCTTTACTTATGGCAGGGGTAAGCAACCTTTTTTGGATCAGGGGCCACAGATTCACAGAAAAAAGTCAGATGGGAACCACACAAGTGAGAAACAAAAACACTCCTTCCAAAACCCCAACCCTCACTTAGGTGGCCCCCACCAAGACCCCTCACTCCTCTGGCAGTCCAGCCCCAAGGGGTGAGGAGAAGCAACAGGGAGAACTGAGAGTCAGGGCTTTCCAGAGGCTAGATTTGCTTTTCTGATTATTTTATGGACCCCTTAGGTTCTAAAGTGGGGACAAAAATAAGGAGTTCAGTGTGTGTGAGAGGGCTGCCAAATGAGCAGGATAGGGATGGGGTGTAGGATCTGGGAGGGAGGTGAGGGGCAGAAAGGGGCAAGATCTGGGTGGTAGGTAGGGTGCAGAAGAAGGCTGGATGTAGGGTGTCTGGCCAGGGGGAGTGAGCAGGAGTAGACTGGAGTAGGGTATCTGGATAGGAGGGAGGGTGCAAGGAGGGAGACTTGGGTAGGAGTTGGACCTTCCTGATCTGGCACCAACTGGACCTGACTGGTCCCAGATGAGGGATTTTTTGGACCAGCGGAAGTCATTTTAGGGCTCCTGGTTCCTCCACTCCCAACTAGGCTTCTTTGCACTTTCCTCCCCTGCAACCCAACTGAGCTGCCCACTCCCACTGGTTCCCTGCACCGTTCCCAAAACCACCCCCCACAATCCAAGGGAGCACAGCACCATTTCCCTGCAGCACCAGTTCCCTGCATCCCCTCACAGCCCAGATGAGCTACCCTCCTGTTCCTATGCCTTCCCCCATCTACCTCAGCCTAGTTGAGCCCCCCACTGGTTGGTTCCCTGCATGCCTCCCCAGAGCACAGCTGAGCCCCGTTTCCCTGCACCTCTCCCCACCCCCAAGTCCCACAGAACTGCTGAGCCCAGCTCTTATTTCCTGACCCTCCCTCCAAGTCTAGCCTGGCAACTTCCTCCTCCTGCAGCCAAACTGAGCTCCACATCTCCCTCTCCCCCCCCCTCAGCCCAGAACCCGGCACCTCTTCACTCTCGCAGCCCAGCTGAGCTCCGTTTCCCTGAACCTTCCACCAAACCGCACAGACATGCTGAGCCCAGCACTGATTCCCTGTCCCTCCCCCTTGAGTCCAGCACCAGGTTCTCAGCACCTCCCTCCTCCTGCAGCCCAGGTGAGCCCAGTGCCCCGCACCTCCCCCCGCAGCCCAGCGCCCTCCAGAGGCGTAACAAGGGGGGAATCACCCTCACTACACCTCTGCCCTCAAGTGGTTATCAGCTGAAGTAGAAAGGAAACAGGTAACCACAATGTATACCCCCTTCTTTCCCACAGCCCAAACTTGTTCTAGCTAGAACTCAGGGGGCATTTTTGTGCTGCAGACAAGCTTCTCATGTTAAATTTGATACACAAAACTGGTGGCCAAATATTATTCACTGTTGCCAATTATAGGAGGGCTTAGCCGAAAGGGGCCTGTGTGTCTGGTTTACCCATTAAGAATGTATTCCTTGCTTCCCCCATAACAGGATTTACATTTATTGCCTTTTGAGGTTTATTATCAAGGACCCAGATGTGTTCAGCAGAAATGTCAGCTTAATCATCTGCTGTTAGAAGCTGAACAACTGCATGCAAAGAAATGCAGGATGAAATAAGGTGTTTTGAATAAAGGTGTTTTAAATTGTGGAAAGCCCAGAGAAACTTCAAAAATTAATACTTTCTACCAGAACCTTCTCTATTCCCCCTCAAAATAATACACATTCCAAGAATATAATAATTAGTAGCTAAAATGAGAGGAATATTTAATCAAAGACATTAGTATTATAGTACGGCAGTAGAACCTCAGAGTTACAGGCTGACCTCTCAACCACACATCGCATTTGGAACCAAAAGTATGCAATCAAGCAGCAAAACACACAAATACAGTACAGTACTATGTTAAAGAAACTTCTAAAAATAATAAAGGGAACAATGTTCAACCTGCATTCTCATCATCTGCACCAATCAGAGTATCAGGAGCAGGTTTTCACAGCACTATTGTGGATTTGGGACTGGGCTTGACAGTCTGTGCCACATACTTCACATTTCAAGACTCCCCATTTTTTTTTTGTTTAATTAAAAAGTACAAGGCAGCACAGTGACACGGTCAAAAAAAAAAATTCCACACAAGAGAATCTTGGCAGATTTAGGGCAAGAATCCAAAACACTTGGTTCTCAATTCATGCTTATTCCAAATCTAATTTAATTTAAAATAGACCACAATAGTTTCACAATAGAAAACTGTTAGACAGTAACCATATATTTGCTTTGACTACAATAATTTCTGCTCAGGCAAGACTAACTGGTATTTATTTTTAATGGAATGCTGCTAAAAGCTAAATTCTTTTCAGTTCCTAACAGACAACTGAAAGTTATTTTCCCCTAGAAATCTGGTACAACAACATAGTTTTGTGGGTGTTTTGGAAGATGCTGAAATCGGGTGGTGGGTTATGGAAAAAAGAAATTCCTTTCCCTTGAACTGTCCAATGGACATTTCTAACATTTCTCATATGAATGCGCTTCTTTGAAAGTGGGTCAGTAGGGGGAACACTGGTTATCATTTCATAGTGTCTATACTAAAACCTATAGGAATTAACTTTCTAAAGAAACATGATATTATTCTGACCTAGAAGAGAAAAATCAAGCTCCCATTAGCAGGTGCTTTTGGGATAAAACCCAGTGTCAAGGAAAAGGAGAAATGAATCAGAATTCTTTGCACCAGCCTTTCCATATGCTATTGGCTGACTAACTCTGTTGGAAAGGAGATTAAAGATATCAGCAGATAA